CGGGGATGGAGCCAGTAAAGGTGAGTGTAGGTGGGGAGGTAGGGAGGAGATAGGTCAGTCCAGGGAGGACGGACAGGTCAAGGGGGGCGGGATGAGGTTAGTAGGTAGGAGATGGGGGTGCAGCTTGAGGTGGGAGGAAGACAGGTTAGGGAGGCGGGGACGAGCTGGGCTGGTTTTGGGATGCGGTATGGGGAGGGGAGATTTTGAAGCTTGTGAAATCCACATTGATACCATTGGGCTGCAGGGTTCCCAAGCGGAATATGAGTTGCTGTTCCTGGAACCTTCGGGTGGCATCGTTGTGGCACTGCAGGAGGCCCAAGATGGACATGTCGTCTGAGAAATCTCACCCACTCCAACCTCTTCCCCCACAGAACGTGCAGCCCTCTGCTCCAATCCTAACCTCACCATCAAACCCGCGGACAAGGGAGGCGCAGTTGTAGTATGGCTCACTGACCTCTACATCGCCGAGGCCAGACGCCAACTCTCCAACACGTCCTCCTACCGCCCCCTTGATCATGACCCTACCCCCGAGCACCAAACCATCATCTCCCAAACCATCCACAACCTCATCACCTCAGGTGACCTCGCACCCACGGCCTCCAACCTCATCGTTCCCCAACCCCGCACCGCCCGCTTCTATCTCCTTCCCAAAATCCACAAACCTGAATGCCCTGGTTGACCCATTGTCTCCACCTGCTCCTGCCCCACCGAACTTATCTCCAACTATCTGGACTCCATTTTCTCCCCCTTGGTCCAGGAACTCGCTACCTACGTCCGTGACACCACCCATGCCCTCCACCTCCTCCAGAACTTCCAATTCCCTGGTCCCCAACACCTCATCTTTACCATGGATGTCCAGTCCCTATACCCCTGCATTCCCCATACAGATGGCCTAAAGGCGCTCCGCTTCTTCCTGCCCCCCAGGCCCGACCAGTCCCCCTCCACTGACACCCTCATCCGCTTAGCCGAACTCGTCCTCACCCTCAACAACTTCTCTTTCAATTCCTCCCACTTCCTACAGACAAAGGGGGTGGTCATGGGTACCCGCATGGACCCAAGCTATGCCTGCCTCTTTGTAGATTACGTGGAACAATCCCTCTTCTGTACCTACACTGGCCCTAAACCCCACCTCTTCCTCCGTTACATTGATGACTGTATCGGCGCCGCCTCGTGCTCCCAGGAGGAGCTCGAACAGTTCATCCACTTCACCAACACCTTCCACCCCAACCTTAAGTTCACCTGGACCATTTTTAATACCTCTCTCGCCTTCCTGGACCTCTCTGTCTCCATCTCGGGCAACCACCTAGAAACTGATATCCATTTCAAGCCCACAGACTCCCACAGCTACCTAGAATACACCTCCTCCCATCCACCTTCCTGCAAAAATGCCATCCCCTATTCCCAATTCCTTCGCCTCCACCGCACCTGCTCCCAGAATGAGGCATTCCACTCCCGTACATCTCGGATGTCCTCGTTTTTCAAGGTCCGCAACTCTTCAACCCCCCCCCCCCCCCCCCTACCCTCGCCACCACCGCCCCCGCTCCCACCATGACCCGCACCTTTCCCTGCAACTGCAGGAAGTGCTACACCTGCCGCCACACCACCTCCCTCACCCCCATCCCAGGCCCCAAGAAGACTTTCCACATCAAGCAGATGTTCACCTGCACATTTGCTAACGTGGCATACTGCATCCGCTGTACCCGTTGTGGCCTCCTCTCCATCGGGGAAACCAAGCGGAGGCTTCGGGACCGCTTTGCAGAACACCTACGCTCGGTTCGCAATAAACAACTGCACCTCCCAGTCGCGAACCATTTCAACTCCCCCTCCCATTCCTCAGATGACATGTCCATCCTGGGCCTCCTGCAGTGCCACAGCAATGCCACCCGAAGGTCGTAGGAACAGCAACTCATATTCCGCTTGGGAACCCTGCAGCCCAATGGTATCAATGTGGATTTCACAAGTTTCAAAATCTCCCCTCCCCATACCGCATCCCAAAACCAGCCCAGCTCGTCCCCTCCTCCCACCTCAAGCTGCACCCCCATCTCCTACCTACTAACCTCATCCCGCCCCCTTGACCTGTCCGTCCTCCCTGGACTGACCTACCTCCTCCCTACCTCCCCACCTACACTCAGCTTTACTGGCTCCATCCCCGCCTCTTTGACCTGTCTGTTTCCTCTCCACCTATGTTCTCCTCTATCCATCTTCTATCCGCCTCCCCCTCTCTCCCTATTTATTTCAGAACCCCTTGCCCCTCCCCCATTTCTGATGAAGGGTCTAGGCCCGAAACGTCAGCCTTCCTGCTCCTCTGATGCTGCTTGGCCTGCTGTGTTCATCCAGCTCTGCACCTTTGAGATAAACAGTCGGTTTAAGAATAACCTTTAATGCAGAACATGTTTCAAAATGCCAAAACTGAAAAGAAATAGACAGTGAACTGTGATAGAGATGGTGCATTTAAAAGGAGGATAAAATCAATGTATTTTCAGCTGTTCACCTCTCTTGAATTAAACCTTAACTCTGGTAAAATCATTTTTCTCTAATCAAGGTTGTGTTTTCACTGTAAATTCTCCTGATCACAGAATAAATGGTTTCACTTTGCAAATGGCAAAAAAAAAACCCCGTCAAACCATCTCAACTTTGAGGTTGTTACAACACCTGGCTTTTCCTGCCTCCCTAACCTGTTCTTCCTCCCACCTATCCCCTCCTCCCACCTCAAGCCGCACCTCCATCTCCTACCGACCAACCTCATCCCGCCCCCTTGACCTGTCCGTCCTCCCTGGACTGACCTATCCCCTTCCTAACTCCCTACCTACACTCACCTTTCCTGGCCCCATCCCCGCCTCTTCGACCTGTTTGTTTCCTCTCCACCTATCCTCTCCTCTATCCCTCTTCTATCCGCCTCCCACTCTCTCCCTATTTATTTCAAAACCCCCTTCCCCTCCCCCTTTTCTGATGAAGGGTCTAGGCCCGAAACGTCAGCCTCTCTGCTCCTATGATGCTGCTTGGCCTGCTGTGTTCATCCAGCCCTGCACCTTGTTGTCTCTTTTTCATTTCCAAGTTTGTTTTGTTATGGACATTCATTGTAATGCCATTCCTGAACTGGCAGGCAGTGCTTATCTCTGCAAGTAGGTTCTATTTATTTCCACCAGTTGAATTTTAAGTATTGTGCACCAATATAAAAAGACAGCCTTTTTTGCTGTGTTCTGATTACATGTCACACCTGCTGATTCTGATGAATGAGATTCTTATTGTCTGCCATACAGCCCTCTCATTTTACATTTTTCTTCTCAAATAGTTTACCTTACATAGATGTTGTAAGCTGCTTTTAATTTAGCAATAGCCATGGGTGAGGAGATGCCATTTGGCTCATTGAAACTCATTCTTCTTGATGTCTATTGTGTGGATAAATTTCTTTTTTGGATGATGTTTCAAAAATATCATCTTCTGTTTCTATTAAGATCCCAATCGGTTGCTCAGGATCCATATTCAAGAATCTCAGCTGTCTCTAAAAGAGTACGGCTATTCCTGTGGCACACAGTGTAGGGTCAATCAGCGTGCTTCAGCTATGGCCTGTTGGCAGTATTCTCATCTCTCATTCAAGGATCTAGATTAAATCTCACTGCAGAGATTTGAACATAGTATTTAGGCTGCCGTCCCCACATTTCAGTACTGAGAAAATGCTGGACGGTGGAAGGTGCTGTCATACAGATGATTAAACTACGGCCCTTTCTGCCATCTCAGGTGGATATACATGATGCCATGGTACTATTTCGAAGATGACCACTGGTTTTTCCAACCGAAGTTTAAAGCTTTATTTGATTAATTGTTGCTATTTGTGGGAACTTGCTGTGTCCAAATAGGTGCCATATTTTCTACATTACAGCAATAACAGTAGTCTAATGATACTTGTTTGGCTGCAGTGCACTTACAGTTGCCCTGAGATCGGAAGGTTTTGCATAAGGGCTAGTTTTTCCTTTTAGTGCAAACATATAATTGATAACTCAGCCTCAGCCTTGTCTGACAAGCAGGAGGCTGGAAGAACACAGCAAGCCGGGCAGCATCAGCTGGAAAGGAGCAGTCAACGTTTCGGGTAATTCCCTTCTTCAGGACTGAGAGAAGGGTAATACTCGAAACGTTATCTGCTTCTTTCCTGCAGATGCTGCCTGGCTTGCTGTGTTCTTCCAGCCTCCTGTTTGTCTGCCTGGATTCCAGCATCTGCAGTTTTTTTTTCTTGTCTCAGCCTTGTCTGTTTGTTTCATCTAGCAGCTCACAACCTCGGAAATAATAACAATTAGGATTTATTTTTATAGTTTTTATCGTGTACTTTTGAGATATGAATTCACAGTGGCACAGTAGTAGTGAAAACTAATTTTAATTGATAAGTGCATAGCCAGCAATGTTTGAAACCAAATAAATTATTTCTGCCTTGATGCATTTATCAGTCCTTAAAGGTGATCTGAGCAAGCAACATCATAATAAGAAACATATGCTTGATTTGTGAGCCTGACTTTTTTCACTCTTGGGATCATCTGTGGGGGCACTAAACAGAGACCAGATCACTCCCGAGGAGGGAGTAACAAAACAGAAGTACAAGCTGTGGTATGACTGCACTTATTTCAGAGTGGCAGAGGCTTGGCAATATATTGGCTATCTGTCTGTAGTCTCAGGACATAGGTACCTGAAGGGAGCAGGATTCTAACTGACTACTTTCCCAAATATCCAGTTGTCACTTTAGTAGATTGTCTGAAACTAACCCTGACTGGTAATGAAGTAATTCCTTCTCGGTGGAAAGTGCTTTTTTTCCCACATGAATTTTATTTTTAAATCTAGTGAAAAAGAAAGCTTTGATTCTCTGTTTTGAACGCACTTTTAATCTAGTAATCATGTTGCTTTTAAATGTAGATGGCAATCTGTTACTTTTTAAGATACTGCCTAAGTAAAATATCTCATACAATTCTGTGTATTACCCTTTCCCTTCATTGTATGGTTTTGTTTTTCTTCAGGTACGGTCAATGGATGAACTGAACCATGACTTTCAAGCATTGGCATTAGAAGGGCGGAGTATGGGAGAGGTGAGTTGATGCTGAAAGCCGGCACTGGGGCTGGGTTGGAAATGGTGGCAGATTGTGAGAATCATAGAATCCCTACAGTGTGGAAACAGGCCCTTCGGCCCCACGAGCCCATACTGATCCTCGGAGCATCCCACCCAGAACCATCTCCCTATAACCCACCTAATTACACATCCCTGAACACTATGGGCAATTTAGCATGGCCAGTCCACCTAGCCTGCACATCTTTGGACTGTGGGAGGAAACCGGAGCACCCGGAGGAAACCCACGCAGACACAGGGAGAATGTGCAAACTCCACACAGATAGTTGCCCGAGGGTAGAATCGAACCCAGGTTCCTGGTGCTGTGAGGCAGCAGTGCTAACCACTGAGCCACCCTGCCGCCCCTGACTATGTTTAGGATCTGTAGCATTCTGCTTTTACAGGCTATTTCAGTCTAAGACAGTGACCAGGAGAGCGACGGAGTTGGCATTTCAGGAATGAAGTCTGCAGCAGGGCCAACATCAACAGCCTCAGTCTTCCCAATGTGACCCTGGAGAAATTTGTGCTCAATTTTTGTTCAGGACATGAGACGTGTGACAGGTCAGACAGTGGAAGAATCGAGAGAAGTGGCTGTTCTGTATAGCCAGGTGTCACTCAGCATACATGTAAAACCTGACACTGGCTTTCTGGATGATGTGACCCATGCAGTGCAGAGTTGAAAAACAGGACACATGCAGCTTTGTAGCAGAGCAGCTGACAGGAATAAAGTGTGATGTACATTAATAAAGTTTCGTCTTGGCAATGCACACTACTGCTTCTCAGGAAACTGTTATCCAATAGGACAACTGTAAGGAGCAATTTTCTGCTTGATTTTAAACTTCTTAGTAAGTTAGTGACATGGATCAGCTTGTATTTTGTGACTTCATTACATTCTTTGATTTTTCTGCTGCTATAGCTAATATATTCAATTTACTGTAAAATTGATTTCTCACAAGTTTTACGGTTAAAAAAAATCATTATATTTCTCTGCCAACTGAAAGTAACTGGAATACATTTTGTCTTTTGACATAGTTGTTGTTAACCTTTTAATCTACCTCTGCCACCCTTGGCACAGAAGTATCCTGAAGGGTTAAACTATCTTTTGATTTTAAAACAAGTGGCCGAGGAATTGGCTTGTTGAAACTTGTCAGTGATTCATATCATGCACATGTGACCAGATGTGATACTGAACTATATAGATAAAAGCAGCCTATGTCCTTGTGATGAACTGTCGAATCACAGTCAAGGAGCTACAGCATTCCTGGGCTGGTGAGCAGGAGAAACATCTCAACTCGGCTGCTTTATTCCTGTCTGCTGCTCTGCTACAAAGCTGCATGTGTCCTGTTTTTCAACTCTGCATTGCCTGGGTCACATCAGCCAGAAAGCCAGTGTCAGGTTTTACATGTATGCTGAGTGACACCTGGCTATACAGAACAGCCACTTCTCTCGATTCTTCCACTGTCTGATCTGTCACATGTCTCATGTCCTGAACAAAAATTGAGCACAAATTTCTCTAGGGTCACATTGGGAAGACTGAGGCTGTTGATGTTGGCCCTCCTGCAGACTTCATTCCTGAAATGCCAACTCCGTCGCTCTCCTGGTCACTGTCTTAGCCTGAAATAGCCTGTAAAAGCAGAATGCTACAGATCCTAATATACAAATATCTTGTAGCATCTGGAAGAAAGAAACAGAGTTTACTCATTCCCAGCTTAATTATTAACTTAGATTCTTGTTGCACACATGCTGCCCGATCAGTGTGTTTTAAAGAATTTATTTTTATTTAACGACTTTTGGCATCCTACCTAATCATGACCTGAGTGTCCAATATTGCATTCCTTCCACTTTCAAGCCCGTCTACTTCCACTTTGGTCAGGGCACCCATCTGCCTCGTTCCACTCCTGCTGAAATTTTCAGTTATGTTTCTGTTAGCTTTAAATTCAACTATTCCAGTGCTCTATTGGACTGCCTCTCACCTTACATCCTTGATAAACTTGTTGGTATTCTAATCTCTGTTGCCCCTACCCTAACTTGCACCAGGTTACCCTGAACCGTTGCCCTTGTTCTTACTGACCTGACCTTGATCTTGGTCTGACAATCCTTTGATTCCCATGACCACCAACCCTTCACATGTCTCCCTATGTCAAATCCTCCTCCAGCTTCCAAGATCTTTGAATTCCTAACCATCTGGCATTTTGCACATCCTTGGTGTTTTTCACTCTGCTTTTTGCAGGTTTGACCCTCGAGTTTGGAACACCCTCCATGAACAGCTCAGACCTGGTACTCCACTCATTTAAGTCACTGCTTAAATACCTCTGGCCAAACCTTTGGTCACTTGTTTTCTGGCATGGTATGGCAGTTTGTTTGATAGTATTCCTGCGGGCATCTTATTTTATTAAATTCTCTTGTATCAAGAAAAAATGTGTACAGGTATTGATAGAAAATCAGTTTGAAACTGGCATGGTGTCTTTGACTTGATAAAAGACATGCATACCCATATATATTACATGGATCAGTAAAGGGTTAAGTTGAGATACCTCATTTTAGAATTTTGTATTTGTTGTAACATGTTACAGTCACTAACCCTGTAGAAGAAGGGAAGTTAACAACTGGGGTTGGGGAAGATGTAAAATTCTTTGCATGGTGGAATGCTACAGCACAGTAGTAGGCATTCTGGGACCCACTATGGCTTTCAGACTTTTAAGTTTTAGTGAAAACTATTTGTAGGGTTTACTTGCTGTGGAGATACTCTTCAGCATGTACCAGATTTTTTTCAGATTAGTTTTGTATTTCTGTGCCCCATTGTCTTCTGATCAGTCAGAATTACTAACTGGAAGCTTTGGGAGCTCTTAGCTGATTACTCCATTGGCTGTGGAAGTAGCAAACAACAGGACAGCACAGCTAATGAGGAGATAGATATAATGGTCTGCTGTTGCTGCGCAGTTGACCAATCGTTTGGCACTTAACTGAGGCAGATGTGTCCCCTGTAGTCTAACGTAAAACTTGTCTATAGTTGTTTTGATTCTTATTGTCACATTTGTTTAATTCCCAAATGGGATCAGTGTTTGTACTTTACAGGATATTTGAATAAAAGAAACTCTCTGCTCCTTCATGATACTGCTTTTGTGACTAATTCCAATGCTTTTACTACATTGCAAGTTGTATTTGAACATTTCAGCAAATGAAGTAGTTAATGTTTTCAGATGATTGCACTGTAGAAATCAATTTGTAGAAATCACATGTTTTAAAATGCAGGAGTAGTTTGAGAGAACTGTACAGAGCTGTTTCAGTAGTTTTAAGGCCAGAGTAGTTACAGTATCAGTGTCTTGGTTGTTGCTGCTACTGTGGTGGTGGTGGTCTGAATTTTTAACAGGAGCAGCAATTTGTGTGTTGTTTTTGGATGCTAACATGCAATCAGTAACCTTGAAACCAAAAGAGAATTTTCCTGCTTTACACCCATTTCCCTTCCTTGCCTGCGTTTCATAAAAGTATCCACAAGCGTCCAGTTACTTTCCATTAAACTCTGCCACCTCCATCCCTTTTTAATGAACATTAAAAGTTTGATTTCTTTAAGTTGGAAATTCAGTTTTTTTTCAAGAAATATCTGTTTATTTCTTTATAAAACTAACACAAAGCCTCATGAAATTAAATGACCACGATGTTTTGGTACTTGCGGCATCAGAGCATTTGCTTCATTGGCCTTCAGAGGTTCTTAAAAGTTGTCTAGCACATCCTGTGTTTTGAAAAGAATTTTCAGAAGCAGGTGCTTGTCTCAAGCTGTAGCAGCTCATTGTCCATGTTAAATACCAATTGTGAATCTATTTCTTCTAAACACTTTTATGCGTTTACAGTGCATGTACTGGTCTACACATTGATTCATACTGGCTGATTTCATATTTTCCTGTGATTCTGAGATCCACCTTTGTGTTAAGTTTTTTTTTGTATTCTGGCAACAGACCATACAACCAGTTTTACCTGGGTTTATATCTCATGATCACTGAGACCCCAGAATTCAAATTAAAATTCACGTTGTTTAAGTAGCTAAAACTCTGGGTCAAATGTTGTGGAATCTGGTTCCTTTCCAGACTCGAGCATTCAATCTGGGCCTACATTGCAGTGGTATTACTTTGTCTGAAGTATCACATTAAATTTATTCAAGCGGAATGAATGTACAAGGTGAGGGAGTGGGTTGGGGTTGACCAATGTCTTGGCCAACATTCATCCCTCAGCCAACACCACCAGAATAAATCGGCTTGTTAGTTTTTTCATTATTAATTGTGCCGCCACTGTAATTGGCCTACCGAACAACTGTGTTTGCTTAAATGAAGTAAGCTGATCAACTATGAAGTGCTTAGTTGTATTTGAGAATATGGAAGTATTGTGTGGTGAGTGCCAGTTCTTGCACTGAGAGAACAAAAGCTTTTTAGATGGTGCAAGTACTTTCGAATTAGGAATAGGCCATTTAGCCCCTCAAGCCCTTTCTGCCATTTAATGAGATCATGGTAAATCTAATTGTTCTTCAGCCCTGCATTGCTGCCTGACGCTGATAACCATTGACTTCGTTTGTTAGTCAAATTTTTCTCTTATCTCGTCTTAAGTGGGAGACTTCTTATTGTTGATCTGTGCCTTTTATTTCACATCTCTCACTGAAAGCATCCTTTCAAGATGCACCCAGTCAAGGCTCCTCAGGATCTCAAATGTTTTAGTAAGATCACCTTTCATTTTTTAAAACTCCAACGAATACAGACCAAATCTCTCTTCACAAATCTTAACAAGATAACTTCTTTGCCGCAGGAGTCAGTTAAGTGAACCTTCTCTGAATTGCTTCTGATGCAGTTATGTCTTGCCTTAAGTAGACAGACCAAATTTGTACATGGCACTCTAGATATGGTCCCATCAATGCCTTGTATCACAGCAGCAAAACATCCATGTTATGGTATTCCCCTTGCTGGTATATAGTATCACAAGGATTGGTGCTGGGACATC